ACAAGAGGGCGGGCCACCCCCCCCTTTGTCTGCCCACACCTGCTAAGGGGACAGCCCTTTCCAGCCTTCCTCCCGTGCCAGGGGCCACCTGCCCCTCCCAGGCCCCTTGTGCTGGGCTCTGCACCCACCCCTGCCTGAAAGGGGACAGCCCTTTCCAGCCTTCCTCCCGTGCCAGGGGCCACCTGCCCCTCCCAGGCCCCTTGTGCTGGGCTCTGCACCCACCCCTGCCTGAGTAAGCCCCGCACACGGCACCTCCCAGCCCTCATCAGCCAAGGGCAGCCCCCACCCTTCACTGCATGCAAGATGCTCTCAGGTTCCAGGCACAGCCCCTCCCCTTGGCAGAATCCTGGCGGGGGTGGGGAGGCAGCCCTCTGCCCCCTGCATGGTCAGGTAGGTGCTTGAGTTGCAGCTCAGTGCAGGAGCCTGGCCTGTCCCCTCCCCAGGTGCAGAGAGGGGGGCTGCGTGCCCACAAGCACAGGGCCCCCAGGGTGTGTGGCTGCTGGATGCTCTCAGGTTCCAGGCACAGCCCCTCCCCTTGGCAGAATCCTGGCGGGGGTGGGGAGGCAGCCCTCTGCCCCCTGCATGGTCAGGTAGGTGCTTGAGTTGCAGCTCAGTGCAGGAGCCTGGCCTGTCCCCTCCCCAGGTGCAGAGAGGGGGGCTGCGTGCCCACAAGCACAGGGCCCCCAGGGTGTGTGGCTGCTGGCAACGGGAGCCTGGTTCTGGGGTGGGGGCTGGGCATGAGTGATTTGGGGTGTCCTGGAGGGCGCCAGGGTTGGAGGGGCTCTAGGCTGAGGTGCAGCAGGGGGTACAGGCTCTGGGGTTCAGGAGGGTGTGCAGGGCTGAGGGGGGCTCAAGGTAGGGGAGAGGCTTGGGGTGCAGGCTGACTTGGGTGCCCCCCCGTTTGTTGGCTGCGGTAGCTTGGTGCTGGGGCGGGGGCGCCTCTGCTGGCTGCAGTTGTGTCAGGGCTTGTTTGGTGAATTACTGCCCCAAGGGCCTGTGTGGCTGGCGCCCCTCCCGCGCCC